AAATATTCTAAGTCCTTTTTATGTAAATTTGGAACAGAAAATTTAACAAAGCACAGAAACTTCAAGCTATCTTCGTGTCTTAGCAATGATTGAAAGAAAATCAAAAAGAGCTTGGTTTATTTAAAGAAGACGATGATTTCAGTGCGCAAGGTGGGACAAATAAATCTCATTTTTATTTTATTTTTTGTTCGAATGGATATTTGCATAAGTATATGAAATAAATTAGGTACATAATTTTTACATTGCTCAATGCTATATATATAGGATAATAAGAAATTCATAAGAAATGCTAATTATTTACGTCACATGATTTATATTTCTTTTTTTTCTTTACCTCGATATTTAAGTTTTTTTTACAATATGTAAGATAAGTCTATTTTTATTTTGTCTTACGAGTTATTAACTTGATATAATATTCATAGTTAGGTTTTCCGTATTTTTTTCATTGCACCGGTAACTGCTGTGAAAATTATTCTCCAATAAACTGAGGCTTTTGGTAGATTGGTTAAAATATACTTCTCTAAAACCACGAAACTTGTACACTTTTCTGTTTGGGATTTAATCTGCTTGTCTGCTTACGTTTTTAAATAAATCTGACCACTCACAGCAAATGCTCGGCGTTCTTCTCATTAAGCCTACTCAATTCCTCAACACTTTTCCTTCGTTTAAATTACTTTGATGTCCTAAATGGAACAGCGAGAAATTAACATTTATGCTAGTTGGATCAACATAAATATAATGTACGTAGTCGATTTTTGAAAAAATTTTATTAGTTTTTCTTTAAATTTGTTCTACTGCAGAGAAAAACTAGAGGAGTAGCGAGACGTATATTTATTCACATATAAAAATAATGTGATTCTATTTTACCTCATCACATAAAAACGGCAATTATCTTTAATTATTCGAGAAAAATTAAATAGTTTTTTCTATTTTTTTTAAATGCTAAACATATGAGTTAAGAAAATACATTATAGAGAATGTTTATATGTTGCCAGTTTTTTATATTATAAATGCCCTCGACATGCATATTAATGTGCCTTTTGACGAGTTGTTTTATGAATATCTTATAAATAATTGATACTTAGATAAAGATATATTTCTTTTTTTTCTTTATAACCTGTATTCAACTCCATGTAACATACAGTAAAGAGCATAACTGAACCAATATTTACTAGTTTTATATAAATCTTTATTTATTGCTAAGAATGTAAATAAATATT